ACTCAACATCAAATGAAACCATCATCACTCATAAGAAATTTATCAATATTTCATCATATTAAGACCCTTATTACAGTAGCTACTAAAACATGACAAATACAAGAAGACCCAACTTCATACCCTACTCAAATCATGCTCACATAACCCATTTTCCAGCAAAAAATTTAAGTATGCATAAACAAGAGTGTCATTAGAGTTTTAACATAAAAATAATAAATTCAACCCAAAATAAATACATTTAAACCATTAGAACTTAAATAAAAGAAGACCCCTAGAAGAAATCAAAGTTAGAAGAAGTTTGAGTTTAGAAACCATTTTGAAAACCTTTTCGAAAGTTGGCTTCTTGAATGAAAAGATATTCAATAATTGATACCATACTCACTTAAGGAAGCAAAATCCAAGAGTTTTTGATAAATATACACGTCCAACCAGCCCTCCTATCCTTCCTTGACTTCTAGTCTTCAATGGAGTCTTGAGAGATTTTGTCTTTAGAGAGATTTTGAAAAGAGGGGTCTTGTCTAGGTCTACGGTTGAAAACTATTTTAATATAACCTAAAAATATAAAATTATACACCTAGGATGTTAAAAGACTTGGGGTGTATTTACATAAAAAAACCCCATGTTGGCAGCAACTTCACAGACTTGCAGGCCTCACAGACGAACCTTCACCAACGGACCGTCGTTGAGCCAACAGACCGTTGGTAGGGTCTCGTTGGTGGATAGTTAGCTCCAAATGGATCATGGACAACTGAACTCACGTTTCCAATAGACTACCTAGGTCGACGGACCGTTGAGGGACCAACGGACCGTCCTTAGAGTCGTCGATGGCCAGTGGTTTTTGGCAGATTTTGCCAAGTCTTGGGCCCTTCATCTAGAGCCCCTTGTGGGTCCTAAGTGGAGTCATGCATGTACGTTAAACCCCTAAAATATGTTTTCTAGGTCTTAGGAACATACAATCCATGTTTCAAAAAAAAACACATAAAACTTGTCAAAACGCAACAAGACACACTAGTTTATTCTAAGGCATACTTCGGAACGTCATGGACGTTCTTGGTCGATTGACCTCCAAACTTAACCAAACTTCACACAATGACTAAGGAAACTAAACTTACTTAGTTTAAATTAAAATAAACTCAAGTAACAACCACGAGGCTCTACTTCACCTTAGATCATTTTGGAGCGTTTCAAAGTCATACCAACATGAATAGCATCACATTAAGATCATATAGGCATGAATAAGTTCAATATAACATTATAATAGAAATTCATGTACAAGATTCATAATTACCACAACATATAATACCCTTACTCACAATCCCTTCCCCACCATACAAGTGGAATGCTTTTGTGAAGTCTCATAACCCCACATAATCAGTTGAACAAAACAAAGGATCATAAGCAATGTCAACATTTCATATATCTCCATATAATGCATGTTATTCATCATATATATATATATATATATATATATATATATATATATATATATCAATTTAGACCAATCAATGAAACTAACATCATATAGGATCATCAACATGTAAAGTCTTCTTATACATATAATTCATATCATAAGTATATGAGAACAACCACCTAGGACTTCTCTTAAGGTCAACATGTTCCATGTATAAGTAGAGTCTCATTCCCTTACCTACACTAAGAAGAACCCCTTAAGTCACCCTAGTTAGTGTTCACTATATTACTTTCAATTTACTTTCGGGAACAATTGCCTTAACCGACATAGACAATGTCAAGTAAACATGGAATCTGGTTTCATGAAACCCTACACCAAAAGAAGGTGTTCTACTTGAAAAGTAGTACCAAAACATGAACATAGCATTCTAGGTTGATCCACTAGTTAGTATTCCTGTGGGGGAAAACATAGTTCAAGAACTAGGAGACATGCTAGAGACCCTCTTTTGTTCAATTGCATTGTAATCTCCATCTCATGAGAACCATTGTGAACCTTCCTTCCCACATTTGGAAAGGCCACCTCTCATAACTAGTTCACTCGGTTCTAAGTTAATATCCATTTTTGAAATGTTTGTAAGCCTTTCTTAATCATCATAACTTAATATAGGTCATAGGAGACTAACCCATTTTATATCATATCATTATCTCATTAGGTATTACATGAGAATGATCTTTCATAAAAACCCTTGATTTGTGAGATCAACCTATCATAATCAAGTCATAGTAAGGCACATAAGTGATTTACAATCAACCTTATATCATCATACTCTCAATCATAATATCACAGTTCATATAGTCTAGACATGTCATTACATTTATCATTCCATTACTTTCCTAATACAATCACATATACTACTTCAATTGAACATAATCATTAAGTATAACACATCATCAATGAAGTAAAGAACTCAAGAGCACAAAGTCTTACCAATTCACCTTCATAAGCCTTCTTTAAAATCATACAATCAATACAACCATATTCATCCACCAATATAATTAATAAATTCATATATAGTAATGTATACAATAACTAAGTCAATTGTATCATCACTAATCAGTTAAACATCAATTCATAACCTAGGGCTAGGAGAAAAGGGTCAAATCATAATTTTTTCCATAGAACTAGATCAAATACCAAGAAGTACCATAATTGACCAATAATCAATCATAATATATCTATAATAATCCATGCAAAACAAAATTAATTTGAAAGATATACATGGGAATTAGAAGAAAACCCATGATTTTGTCAGAAATCAACTTTGAAGAAACTCTTGGAGAAAGGGTTTCCTAAAGTGAATAGCTTCCATAACTTGTTAGTTTTTATAGAATTGTAGAGGAAAACATTAATATTGATGCCCTAGTGAAGTATTACCTTTGTGTTCAAAGGTGTTCTTTTGGGAAAGAGAGAGAAAGTAGAGAGAAGGTGGAAAGAATTTGAGTTTGGTAATTGAGGAGTGTTAGGTTAGGTTCACGAGGGTTAAGTGTTATAGAGTCCGTTAGATAAATAAATTAAACACCCCCTAACATTTAATTAACCACCAAAGTAACTAACCAATTAAGTCACTCATTAAAAATTTGGACAGTCAAAACAGACCCCAACCTACGGTCCACAGGTCCATGGACGACCCCGTACTAGCAAGGCATTATTTGGATCAGATATTGGTTTTTTGGAGAATTTTCTAAGTGTCAACCTACGAAGCCATCTATGGCTCATCGTTTGGCTAGTAGATGTGCATTATCAAGTTTGACAATTTTAGATCAAATGTGATGGTCCACAAGTGGTATTTGGGAAGGCGTACCCGAATGTTTAGAATCTATGCACACCCCAATACTTTTTAACACCTTTCTAAAACATTTCATTAAATTTCGACTCATAAAAAACACCATGAAACATGTCAAGGTACACTAACCTCTATTTCGCTAGTTTCCGGACGTCATGGACGTTTCTTGACGTTTTGACTCTAAAACATTGTAATAAGTTAGGTACATTATTTTAGGCCTATAAAAGTGTTCAATTATTAGTTCATCATGAAAGGTTCTATACCAATTTATGTACTCTCGGAGAGTTACAGATTCGATCTAACCCATCACAATGATGACAATCACAAATGTGATTGTCAACCAAAACTGATTAGAACATTTTAACCTCTAAAAATCACAAATTTGAAGTTGTGTACCAAAGGTTGACCATGATCAACTACACGCTTCATATTTTACTTTTTGGTCTTGCATTATTTCAGAGGTACGCTATTCATATATAAAAATTACTATTTAACTTATAGTCACACTTCTTGGAAATGATATTTTCCATTTTTTATACTTGCATGAAAGATAAGTTATGAGTTGTTATTGCTATTTAATTAATTTTCGCATGATTAATTGAATTGAATATTTCGAGAAATAATTGACTTAACTAACGGAGGTTGGTGAAGTTTCATCACGATCCTTCTATTTCTGAATAATAAAAATTACATCTAAATATTTTCATATACGAAGCACGGAAAAAATAGATTTATCTAACGATTGTATTGATCATAAAATAATTGATAAATATATATAGTTGACGAATCTATGATAATTACATGTCAAAAAACCAATTTAAGTAAGTTGGTCCATGTAATGAATATATTAAATGTTATGTTGAATTATTTTTTAAAAAAAGACTCCATATTCAAGAAATTTAAGTTTTATTAAGTAGAAACTAATTTCAAGAGAGAAAGGTTATCTACATTTAAAATGAGGGGTTCTAAAATATATTTCTTGAAATGAATATATAAGAAACAATTTTGAAGTCAAAAAGATGTTTATTTCTCCACACGACCTATATATTATATTGTTTTGACAAAATATTAGTGTGGTGTATATTTTTACATATTGTGTACTTACAAAAACAATAAGTCTCTCTCCCCTCAAGTGATGCAAGAACATCTTGAGGTACTGCTCTCTTTCCTGTTGTTGAGTATTCAAAAATGATTTTGCATTCTCAAAAGTTATATAAAAATTCTTCTTATGGTTTATGGAATTTTTTGTGTAGATTTGTTAAATCAAAATAAAAGGAACCTGTATTATTAATAAGTATTTTGTAAATGATTTTCTATGTTTAGAAGTTGTGGATTCATTCCATCTATTCCAAATCTAACATAGTCATGCATGTTAGATTCGTTAGATCTAACAAAAGATAAAAACAATTTCTTTTAATATGCCAAAACATAAAATATATGATATTTTTTTTAAAATTTTAATTTATGGTCAAAAGTTTTTGATCTACACTAATGATGTACCAGATCTGTGCAGATTTCCTATACTTGTATGCAATTTTATTTTGTTTTCAAAATCAATTTTATGTAAGTATGCAATATAAATAAATTTTGTACATGGGAAATATTTCAGACATTTTACTATCTAGTTAAAATAAAATCCTATAAGGACTAAAATTAATTTTTTAAGACCTTTAATCTATAAATTTGAAATATGCTTCATTCTTTTCTGAAAAGAGAGAGTTAACTTTGATTTATTTTATGTACAGAATGGTGGACATGAATAATCGTGGTACAAAATTGGTCATTGATGAAAATGATATAGACAAAATCTCTAATTTGCCCATGGATATCCTTGATAAAATATTCAAGGACATGTCATTTCTAGAATTGGTAAAAACGTGCGTCTTGTCGAAGAAATGGGTACATTTCTGGGCTATGCATCCAATTCTTGTTCTAGATGGAGATTTTTTTAGAAAGATAAGTGGTAATATAAAATTGATTGAAGATGGTTTTAGTGGCCTAATTGACAAAATTCTCTTTCAACATGTTGGATCAATAGTCAAGTTTTCCCTTGATTTGTCAACTATCTATTATAATAATAATAGGGACCTTGGTCATTGGTTGATTTGCGTAACAAGTAAGTGTGTCAAAGAACTTACCCTAAAAAATCACAAACACAAACACTATAATTTACCTTTTTGCGTATTTGATTGCCCAACTCTCACATATTTAGACGTAACCAATTTCATAGTTAAATTACCATCTTCCAAAACATTATTCCCAAATCTCCTTGAATTAACCTTGAAGTCCATCAAATTTCGCCCAACCAATGCAAATTATGTCTTGAATGCCCCTTTTCTTACCTCCTTAACATTAATTTCTTGCAATGGTGTTCATTGGCTCACCATATTTGCTCCCAGGATTAAGTTCTTGACAATTAATGATAGCCATGACATTTGCGCAAATTTTTTTGTAAATTTCTCAAATGTTAGGGAGTTGTTATTCCGTGAAGAATCTTATTATGAAGAAGGGAGGTTCATCACATGGTCACATCTTCTTTCTTTGTGCCCTAACCTAACAAGGCTTGTTTTGAATAATTCTTGCATTCAGGTGAGTATAATTTGATCAAGACATATTTCAATATTTTTATCACAAAGTTTTCAATAAATGTTAATATGATCATTTATGCTAAACCATTAATGAGTTTTTCCTATTTTTCTTTTATCAAGCATTTGGGTGCAGAATATTTTCCAAAAAGGTTTGATCAATCTATACCCTACCATTTGGAGCATATAACATTGTGTGTGACATTTCTGGATCTAAATCAAGTTTATGATATTCTTGCCTTGATTCGACGTTCTCCCAACTTGCGTTCACTGGAAATAGATGTAATGTATCTTACCTTTTATAATTTAAAATTGAGTTGAAGTTATATATACATTAATAGTAGGTTTCCCTTACGTGCTATAGTAAGTAATCTTTGTTTCTGGTAGATATTTTTTAGTGACCTGATAGAGTAAAAAACATGTTTACATTTTCATATTGTGTATAAAAAAATACGTTACACTTTTAGAGTATAACCTATACATGTATCAAAAATGTAGTTAATCTTATGCTTTATCAATATCAGGTTATGCAAAGTAAAAACTATCTACAAGTAATAATTTATAGTAATGGAATTTGTAATCCTCAATGTAAGGATGTTTTACTTGCGAAAACTTGTAGAAGTTACTAACCTTCTTCTTATTACTTTTTTAACTTCTATAGGTTTTCAATACCTTGAGAGAAAGAAACATAGGTGAAGTTATTCATTATCTAGAAGATCCAAAATGTATTGACCAACAATTTGAGAAGCTTGAATTTGTGGAACTAAGAAAGTTTGAGGGGACACACTTTGAGCTCATTTTCTTAAAGAAAATATTGGGATATTCTCCTTCGCTTTCAAGGATTATTGTTGAACCTTCTGATGATATTGATGTTGCAGAGATATTGGATTTGTATGAAGAACTAATGATGTTTTTAAAAGCATCACCAACGGTAAAAGTCGTTGTGGCACCTCATGGTTAAGATCCACAACTTTACAATTTTATTCTATGGAATATTTCAAATGATTTCAATGGATTTTACTTTCCTTTTATGTTTGAACTTATGATGATTTATAGGGCTCTTCCTCAATGTAATAATAATATCATGGATGAATTATTATTTCTTGGTATTTTTCCATGTGAAGACTTCTTGATGTTTTGCAAGTATTTGTGAGATTATGGTAGGATATGGAGTAAGAAAATTTTAAGTCGATAACATACATATGAGAATGACGCTTGCTATATGAGGAAGCCACCTTATTCATTTAAAAGATCATTCTAAATCTAAAAGATCATTCTAAATCTATGCAGACTTAAATTGCAATGTAGATAACATCACTAGTGGGTATTAGATCTGCTTTTGAACTAGAAATAACTTCTTTATAGGTTTAGGCTAAAACACATCAATACTCGCTGCAACTAATAAAAAATCTCAAAGTTTAAATTTTAAAAATAATTTTCATCAACTACGTTTGCAAAAGAAAAAAATTCAGTTGATCACTCTCTTTTGTTGCTTATTGGAATGTATGAATTCGCAGAATATTCATATTTCTCAAAATTTGCGTATCTAGAAGACTTTCCATCAACTAGGGTCGAATGTATTTTTGGTATTACTCTCCTTTTTATGTATGAAAAGTCATATTAGAGAACATAGAAAAAGAAATACAAATTTCCAAGAACCGATGCAAGAACCAACAATATTTGGACTTGTTCATCATCGTTTTTGTTTATGATATCTCATTTATTCACCTAGTGAATTGAAGAGCATGTGACTCACTTGAGACTTTTTCTGCAAAGCATCAAAGATCGCCAACTATTCTCTATGTTTAGAAAATGTGAATTTAGGTCCCTACGCTATCTTTGGGCGAACAATGTTGAAACTTAGGTTGTAGCCTATATAATAAGTTCAGAGTTGGGTAGTTCATTTTTTCTTCCACTTATGTTATTAGTTTTATTCATCAAATTTGGGTAACCAGTTAATCACTGTTTAGATGTTGGTAAGCTCATACTTTTCCATTTTTATAGCTCAGACTGTGTGTATCATAGAACATGACCTAGAGAGTGTTCCCATCCCCAAGCTTATAAGAAGAAAATAAAAGAAGGCGAGTGAAAAAGGTAACAATAATTACTACACAATGGAACTTATTATTCCGGAAGTAACCTTTAAAATAGACATATAAGCCCAAGGATATTGTTCTTCTCCCCTATATATTCTCCATCATTTAAAATGAATTAACCAACACATCAAAATATTTAAATAATACTAATATCTCTGCCACCTCTTATAAAATTGCAAAAATTGAAAGTAGTCTAAAAATAGGAATATTCTAAAAGAACACTTTTAAAAGGTTTATAAAAAGGGACACTTTGATTTTATTAATAATTATTATATTAAGAATTCTTAATCTACTATTGTCATAATTACAAATATTGAGACTATTAAATTAATAGCAACTGACAATGTTAATAGGTATAAAAAAAAAAAATTCATTATATAAAAATAGTTTCAATGTACTCATGTGTCAGCTCTTATAAGACAATATGTTACTAAATTTGATGATTCATTATTAGTAGTATACAAAGTAACGTTGCCAAATGCCCTATATACTTTAATCTTATCCTAATTATTCAATAGATATTAATGATCAGAACTTAATAGACACATTAACATCAAATACTAAAACTAAAAATATCAATAATAAGGCTAATTCTAGAGAAATAGCCATAATATATAGAGTATACTAGGTAAAAGGCCTGCCCTTAGAGTGGTATGTAATTTGTTGGTTTTCAGTAAAATATTTGAGTGTTGATGTATTTTTTTTCCTTTTTTATGTTTTTTAATTGATGCATTAACTTTTGGGAAAATTTCATATATGGCAAACTTAATTGATTAAATAACATTATATGGGTATAGTGTATCTAATTACATTCTATTGGTATAGTTTAGTTATTTAGGTATCTTTAATTTTGTATATAACATTTCTTTTGTTTTTTATTTATACAATTTTATTTTAGAAAAGGTGGTTTGTAACTGAAGCGTTAAATATGCTAACAATAAATTTAGATAATTCCATAATTTAAGGTAAATGTTCAAATTCAATTTTTTTTCAAAAAAAAATAAGTCCTTCTATCTGTTCATAATTCCTTACCTTATTTTCTCCTTTAATCACTCAAAACAAACTGATTTCAAAATTTAGAATTTTCATCCATTCTTTTTCAAGTCGTACTACGAGATTTCTAAGGTTACGATTATGCGATTTTACTTTCTTCCTGCCTTTTCTTAAATAATCTGTATATTATGATTTCTATGAACTTTTAAAGTTTGATATATACAAAAAATTATTTATTTAAGTAAATTTTGTATTCACGTAATTGTATAAGGTATATTGCATGTTTATATACAAATAGATATTGCCTCATAAGACATTGTATATATTATCTTAATATACAACCCACTATATACTTAACTTTAGTAATTGATATACAACTAATAGAATATACAATTAAGAACTGTTTCGTAATACTTTGTATATATTACCTTAATATACAACCCACTATATACATAACTTTGTAATTTGTCTAAACGACTTTGTATATACTACATTAATATACAAACTTAATATATACTTAACTCCAGTATTTTGTATATAACTACTAAAACATAAAATTTTAATATACAATTATAAATTAGGCATATTCCTATAACTAAATACAATTGATTTTTGTATATATATACAAAAATAAATATAATAGGAAGCCTTTAATATACAATTCACTACTACCCCTTATTAACTTAGTATACTAGTCATTATATACATAACTTAAATAATTTGTATAAACTAATCGAATAACAGATTCACTCTCCTCTAGCTATGACATTGTTAACAACTTTTTGAACTGTCATTGGTTCATTTTTTTATTGGATCTCAATTCTTCCATTGATTGTTTATCTTGAACTTGTTTGGATTTTGTCATAGATGCTACATTAGCCCCAAAATCTTGAGTTAAACCCATTAAAAACGAGGGTAAATTGTCAACAAAATTGACATGCAATGAAATACCTCTAGTAATCCTCATAGGTGAAGATAATTCATCCATTCCGATTTTGATGAATTTATAATCTAATAAGAATGATTGATTATTTAAAAAAAAATATGAAAAAAAGTAAGAAACAAAATACATATATAATTGTTGAATAAGGAAAAAATATAAATAATTGATACACGCCTAAATTTTAGGGGTTACCCGCGAAAGTTGAATTCAATTTCGGAGGGAGAAAGTGATTTTTTTTGCTAATTTGAAATTCAAAATTGGATAAAAGTATTAATTATAGGAGAAAAAAATGGAATATGAATAGGAGAGATAATATTGATTTGTATAAAATTATATACAAAACTAAAAAAAGGTTTTTATACAATTGGTTTAGGAATAAGTGGTGGAACCCATTTATTATAGCAAAAAAAAACAATAATTATAGAAAGTAAATAAATTAAACTATACCCTTATTACATAATTACTTAGGAATGTTTGCCATCCCTAGAAATTTTCCCTTAACTTTTTAGGCATCATACGGTCGTAATGGAATGCACATAGAATGCTCAATTTTATGCATCTTTTTTTTTTGTTGAAAGATTTACTTGGTTTAGTTCCTCGTCATCTGTATTATAGTAGTATGAAGTCGGACTTATCATGTTATCAAATATTCAGATGTAATACTAAAACATGTTGTAAACATATGACATTGTAAGAGTACATCAATTTCCGCAGCAAGTTCAAGTTATATGTTTTAAATTAGTTATACATTAACTAGGTAAAGTACAACTTCTACACCTGTTGTTACATGTTTGTATTGGATGTTCCAATAGATCTATGGAAGTTATTACTTTGAAATGGTCTCTTATTTTGAAACATTTGTGGTCTTTTTAATTAAGCCTACCTGGTTGATCTTGTTTTTCTGTATGCCTAATGTTTTTGTTTGCACGCAGTTTCTGCGACGTCCTCATTTGGTTTCCATCTCAATCACGATTCATTAGTTGTATCTCCACTTATCTGCATACACGACAATTTGAAATGGTTTTTATGAATTGTATATTAGAATGGTAATCTTTGATAGCAGGGGAAAAACACAAATTTAAAAGAATACCTCTTCTCTTTCTACCACTCTAGGTCATACATTCTGGAAGACTTTGTAAACACTATTTTTAATGAATATTTTATCTTATGTGTCGCCATCCACATTTAGCACAGTTATTACTTATCTTGTGATTACTCTGGATACAACTACATATAGTTGTCCATGTGTGAATACCTAGTTTTGTATATACGGGCCTACCTGATTTAGTGTTTGTCCTTGGCTTTTATTGATTCTCAGAGTGTAACATGTGGCTAATGGAAGTTGGCACCTTTATAACTTGAAAGACCACTTTGTTTCGTAGGCGTCAGAATAACTCTTGGAATTGTGACACGTGAACCAATATTCTTACCTAAAATGATGTTAGCGCTAACAAACCAATACCAAGATGTGTGTTGACTAATCTTGTCCCATTGCAAAACCCTTCTGTTTGATTTAGATTCCCCAAAAGCATAACAGTGATTCCTAGTAAGAGTATATGTCATGGTTAGGGATCCCCGAGAAGGGTAGGTTGTTTAGAAATTGAGTTGGGGACAATATATCTTCCTCGTTAGTGTTCACACTAGGTTTGCACACATTATCTGAGATATAATATGTTCTTCCTTCTCTTGGTATCATCTTCATAATTATTTCATTTAACTAATGCACTAGATCTTTTTAGGTGTGATATTGACTATTCGCTCATGTATTCTGGGTTGTTATAATTTCAAAAATATAGTTTGATATACTGCTTTAAAAATCGACCCAATAAGAATGCTAGATTTTTCAATGCAAACATCATGGGGGATATTATTCATGTCCTTATTTGTAGCATCATATTTTGATCCCTCTCCTACTGCAACAACCATTTGTCGAATGTGGATATTTTTGTGGCTTCAACACCTGTTAGTTTACCACGACTCAGATGCATGTTTTCCTTCAATTCATAAATAGAAAAA